AATGATCTTTGCTTAGTTTTCACTTAATCTACTTTCAAAGCAACATATACACGCATATGATGCATTACAAAATATATAAAATACACTGAAATATAAACAATATCATCTCATGGCAATCCTTGCTTTGAATCATGAAGTATTTGTTTCAAAGCATTTTATAAAGACCATTTAACTTTAGAGTTGAATTTATAGTTAGTTTTATGTAAACTGTGCTACTCAAAATTTATATTTTAAAATAAAATCAAGGATATGTACTTGTAACATGCCATTATATTTTGATTTTGGTAAATTTTAGACTCATGATTTGCTTTTGGTTATTTTTATATCATAATTTACGTAGTAATTATATGACAACAAACCCCTCAGTTCTGCTGACAGATTAGAATAGCAATAATGCTTAGCTCATTGATGTGACTAGAGCTGAGTCTCTATGAGGTAGTAAATGATAATAGAGCCTGCATTCTTAAGGATTAAAAAAACAGACTAAGCTCAAAAATAATAAATGAACTTTAAGTAGCTATACAGCAAAGTGGTTTTAAATTCAATTTGGAGTGCATTTTTCTTTCAAAGGAATGCTCCAAACAATAGAGACCTTTGCTTCTACCTAAGCAATCTTTTTTTCTAAAATGGTAACTATTTATATAAATATATTTTGGCTGTATTTAAGTAAAATGTTGCTTTTCCACATAATGATTCTCAAGCGCTTGACTCTTAATCAAAATTTCACAACATCTTTATTTATTAAACATAGTAAGGTAGTCCTACCTAGCACATGAGTCAAGAGAAACAAAAAAAATAAACAAATTGGAAATTAAACTGCCATTGTGGGCACATGAAATGATCTTATGTACAGAGGCGACTCCTTTCCTCCTAATTCTACCCAGAAGTGCTTGAGTACATAAATCTAGCACAGCTGTGGGCCATGATAATAACATACAAACCAGCACTGTTTCTACATGGCAATAATAAAATATCTGAAAGAGAAATTAAGAAAGCAAGCTGGTTTACTACAGCTATGATATTTCGACAGTTTTAAAGGTCTGTTGCTGCAGCTCAATAAGCTTGGGAAGTCACCATTATTAAACTAAGTAACTGTCACCAGTTTACAAAACCCATAATTATGGGTGTGGTCATTCAATTGAGGCTTGTTACTTCACTATCTTAGATTAGTTTTCATTGGAGGTAATGTATAACTGTATCAAAGCAAAAATTACAAAAGAATTTCAAAATTCTTAATAAAATTATTTTTTATATTTTGTAATAAATTTTTTAAAAATTTAAGACTTAAAAAGTAACATCTCCAGAATTAAACAAAAATTGGCATTTATGTGAATACAAAAAGTTAAATATACTTAACTTGTAAGTGCTCCATCTCATACTGACTAAATACTGTCTTTCCTATACTAATAAGAAATTAAATAAAAGTTATCACAAGTTAACAATAAACAGATTTTCAATTAAGAACATAATTTTTGTTTATGTTTTTATTAAACAAAATTAACATATTACAAAATAAATCATTTTCCAAATTACACACATAAATAAAAGAAAATAAACAAGTTAATACACAATTCAGATAAACAATACTATGGGGAGCCTTTTATAATTATTTCTTAAAAGCAGAAAAAGACCTGGTTATTCTCTACAATCTAAACAATTAGATGGGTTAATCCCACAAAATAAATACCTTACAAAATAATTGATTATAATCCAAGCATTGCACATATTATACCTTTTTTAAGTTTACTGAATACAAACATTCAGATTTTTAAAAATAGAAACAGGATCGTTGGATTAAATTTACTTGTGATCATTGCAATCCCAGCTGTGTTTCCAGTCAGACAGCAGAGGTAGGCATAAGGAACCTAAGGGGGAGGGGGGTGCTCTGAAGGTGTTTCTCTAACAATCATTAGCATAAGGAACCTAAGGGGTGGGGGTGGGGTGCTCTGAAGGTGTTTCTCTAACAATCATTAGCAACAATGGCTAATATCCCTTGGTACTAGTGTGGAACTGGCTCCAGGACCCCAAGATAAAAATGGCTGAAAATTCTCTGGTCCTTTGAAAAAGTCAAACAGTATATTTGAACATAGTAGAATGATCCTCAGGTACACTTGAAATCATCTCAGCTTACTTATAACAGCTAGAAAAATGTAAATTGTGGTTATACTGTACAGCTTCCAGGATAGAAACAACACCCTGAACATACTCATTATATACAAATAGATCCCCCACCCCACAGAGTATTTCTGCTCCAAGTTAGTTGAATATTTGGTTGTGGAAACCAGAAGGGGGTAACTCTGGTGTTAGAGTGAGCTGCCAGAAGCTACAGTTGAACTGACAGTTGTGTGTCCTAATTTTCATAGACTTTCCCTTAATCACAGAACTGTTTCATAAAATTCATTTTTCATCATGGGAGACTCAAATATAAAATGCACCATAAGGAATGAAGAAAGCAATATATACTATGAAATACTATGCACTGATAATTCATTTTTAACAGAGGAGCAATTAAAAATCGACAGGCTATATTTCTGCTTATTCCAATGAAGATGCTTGGTAATATTAAATATTATATTATTACTCTTAGAATTTATCCTGGAAAATACCAGATTATTATTCTCATAACTTTCTGTGGCCTAATAATTCTATGATCATTGGAAAATTTAAATTTTAGAAGGTTAGTATTTCTCTTCAAAAAGATTTTATTCCAAAAGCATTGCTTGAAAAATAAGTTAAACTTCTCTCTGTGTGTCTGCAAAGATTCCTAAGTAACTGTGAGAGTAAATGTGACATGGGGTGGGTGTCCATGTCAGAGAACCACCCTGGATGTTGATCCTTGCCTTCCACCGTTTTTGAGTCAGGATCTTGTTTGCTGCTGTGTACAGCAGGCTAGCTGGCTCACACACTCGCAGGCTCTTTCCTGTCTACACTGATCAGCTCTGCAGGAGCGGTGCAGTAGAACATGGATGCTAGGGAGCTCATCTCTATGTGAGTTCTGGGTGTTCACATCTAGACCCTCATGCTTGCACTCACTCATCAGTCTCCCTTACCCTAAAAGATGTTTCCTCTCTGCTGTGTTTTATGGCCAATTCCAGAACTAGTCTGTTTCAGAATGTCTTTATGCTTTGGAGCTTGGCATGTGTTATTTGTTAACATGACTCAACTGATTCTCTCAGTAGAGTTAATAAATAACATTTGTGTAAAATTAGCTAGACTAGCTGATTTTTCTATTATAACTATAAATATTGAATTCAGTAGATTTTTAAAAAAACTTTTTCATTTTTACAATAATTTCTTTTTAGCATAAAAGTTATCAATTTTTAGCCGGGCGATGGTGGCGCACGCCTTTAATCCCAGCACTTGGGAGGCAGAGGCAGGCAGATCTCTGTGAGTTCTACAAGAACTGGTCTACAAGAGCTAGTTCCAGGACAGGCTCCAAAACCACAGAGAAACCCTGTCTCAAAAAACCAAAAAAAAAAAAAAAAGTTATCAATTTTTAACCACATGACAGCTATGGATCACTGATATTTTCTTTTTAACTTAATAGACACTGTAAAAGACTTTTTCATATAAGCATATACCTCAAAAATATGGTGCTACCTTAAAAATCATTTTTATCTATCTCTAATTTTGCCGTTATAAGTAAATTTTCTGTATTGTCTTTAGTAAAATTAAAGTAAAATGAATAAAATTCTAACATTAACATTATACTTTCATAGTCAATTCAGTAGTCTCTGGTGAACATTTAATTTTAACATATGAATAACAAAATGAGACCTAGAAAGATTGACAAGATGCCCTAAAAATAGAGTATCTGAATTCCAGAAACCTTATGATGACTGAGAAACAATTTTTTTTTTATAACATAGAAGTAGTTGCTACCATTTACTAAGCTACATCCTAATGCTTCTAGTCTTCTATTCAGCAGAGCAAACGGGCATTAAACATGCAAAAGCACTCGGCACTGCAGGCCCCGAGTCTTCAAGTGATGACACCATGAATGCTCTGCACAAAGCCTGTCTTGCCCCGCGCGACTGAAGAATGGATAAGAAAATGTGTGCATTTCCACACTGGAGTACTACACAGCAGAAAAGTAATAATGACATCTTGAAATTTGCAGGCAAATGGGTGGATCTAGAAATCATAACATTGAGTGAGGTAACCCAGACCCAGAAATATAAATATAACTCATGAGTGGCTTTAGACATAAAGCAAAGAAAAATCAGCCTACAATTCACAACTCCAGAGAACCTAACAAAGAGGACCCTAAGAGAGAGACATACATGGATCTAGTCTACATGGAAAGTAGAAAAAGAAAATATCTCCTGAGTAAATTGGAAGCATGGGGATCATGAGAGAGGGTAGGAGAGGGGAGGAAGAAAGTGGAGTGAAGAAAAATATATAGCTCAATAAAAACAATTTAAAAAAACATGGCTAACAATCAGATTAGAAAATATAATAAAATAAAATAGCCTGTAATTTAAACAAGTTTTTGCTCACAAGAAACTTAACAAGTACATTTGATCACTAGGGGAAGCCAGCCAGAAACTGAATATGAACAAAACTGAGAGCCAGCAGAGTTCAGAAATGATGCATATCCATCTACTGTCCTTTTGTTCTGTATTTCTGTGGTCACATGTACCTAACATGTACATGCTCCAGTCGTTGGACTCAGAATACAAGTACAGCTTACCTGCATGCTAGCTAGTTTAGAAATACAAGCATTTTCTCTACTGTGAAACAGAAACCTAAATGGCCATCCCATTCAAACTTCAGAAAAATATGCCATAAAGAATGCTACCGCATGCCATCTCTCATGAGATGCTTTCTTTGGATGGTTCTGTCCATTGCAGAACAAGTAATATCTTCTTTTAAAAATAAAAATGAAGTAACTGGTAGAGGGAACAGTAGCCAAATGCACATTGAGTTTGACAGTTTTCTCTTCATAATCAAAACATAGGATGTTTACTGAAGTTAGGCAATTTGATAAATAAACTATAAAATACACTACGAAGCAGGCAGCTGTTGATCTAATGCGTATGTCATTCTTTCCTTACTGTATTTTTCTGACCATTTTCGGGTTAGTTCTAGATAATAACTTGGTTTATGAGGCCGGTAATCCAGGTATACTGTGTTAGTGGTTCTCTTGGGGACAGCATTTTCAATCTGAGTTCCTTCATGCCACTCATTGAAAGAGGTGATGGAGATTAAACTGGGGTGCGTCTGGAGTGCAGTGCTTAGACCGACTTCATAATACTTCCCATTGATGCGGTTCCTCGTGTTCTGAGAGTTCCATGGACGAATGTTTGTATCAATGTATCCTGGGCCTACACTGGGGATAAACATCAAGTTGTTCTCATCACAAAATGATTTCAGCTTAGCCCAGTTCTGATGTGATGAGCCATACGTGAAGCCATTAGTGGCAAAATATGTATAAATTCCATCAAAACCACTTTGAAGAATATCATATTTATGCTTTTCTTCTACGAGAAGTGCAATAAACAATCCATCATAAGGAGTACCGCGGACACTCTGAGATCCTGAAGGTGTTAACAGATTGGCCCACATTTTAGGTTTTGTTATATAGGAATCATAGACATAAAACATAGGCAGAGATTGCCCCGTACTTGTCTTGTACCTATAAAAGGCTGGATGGTTTCCGTATCTACAATAAAGAAACATTGAAAAGTGAGAATATGTCACAATAAAATTATACACTGAACTGACAATGATTTGAGAAGCTTGAGCACATTGTTCCCAATCTTCAGTGAGTCAGTTATGGAAGCAAAATAATGCTAATGCAATCATACTTTTAATTTCATACATTATGAGACACTGGTATACTTCAAACAGGAGGTTAATTATATCTCATGCCAAAGTTAACAAATGGTGATTAAAGCTATAAAAGTCTATTATGAACTACACAAATGGAAAAACCTATTTATCTTACCAATGACAGATGTCCATTTGTTGCTGAGAGGATTCTTTGTAAAATGAAACACCTCAGAGAATCTTAACAGTAAAATACTTTATAAGAATGAAAATAATCATAAAATTCTTTTTTAGTTATTCTTGATACAAATGAAGACAGATATGCAAACACTGCTATAAAATTAGCTCACATTTCATCTGAACCTTCCTTTAAAAGACAAAATGTATATTCATAAGATTTTAAAAAAAGAAATGTAAAATGAGCACAAAAGGAAATCATACATAGCTTTTAAGGTATAGAAAAATAGCTAAAGTAGCAACTTTTATCCATGCAAAAAGTAAGCTGTAAGAACTTGAGAATGTTCGTCAGTTTACTTGTGGTAAAATTACCAGAAATGACAGATCATAAGCCAATTCCCATTACCAGATCATAGAGCGTAACTATGAACATTGAAGAAACTCACTTGTCTATAATATACTTGACATTTTTATGCATGTTTTGATCATCTCGATTGCTATACGGCTCTATATGAAAGGTAACCTAAAAACAGGGAAAAAAAATCAATTAAAGAAAGCATTATCTATGAAAGTATATTTTGCATTGTTAATAAGCTGTCAATTCAACAACATTAAAGTGAAAATTTAGTGAGTTGAGTGATTACTAAATAAATCTTGGTAGATAATACTGAATGAGAGTTTTCACGGCTAACCTAAGTGAAGCATCTCATATGCCAGCCTCTGTTATTGTATAAGGTGGCCGCTAACTCGATTTTGAAATAAAGAAGTTGGCATGTGTCTAGTAAGTTGCCAATAGGCCCCAGTTTGTTGGATACAATGTGTGGTAGCTACCTACACATATCAGTTGTACATAATCAAGTTGAACAAGTTATGCCTAATAAACAGGTTGGCTTTGTACACTATCTCTAACTAGTAAGATAAACAGTATAAGGAATAATGTAACTTTAAAAAGATAATCATAAAACGTATTCTTAAATTCACTGAGTTATCCATATCAAGTCTATTTTATTGGTAATCTAATAAAATTATTGTTTTAATCTAATATTTTAAGTGGGATTGCCTGTTTGACAAGACTTTTACAGTACTGCAAGCTTAATTCTTTTGTTAATTATCCAATTAAAGCACAATGCATTTTCATTAGTAAATTTTCACAGAAGTATTTTTAAAGTCAGGTCATTTAGCAAATCAATCATTCTCTACTTATAAGAGCACAATGATGTAAGGTTTTGGCAATAACAAACTCAGGTCAAAACATCCTTACAATCTGCTTTCAAAGCTGCAGGCCATAAATGATCAGCTTCTTCCATCAAGTGTATGTATGTATGTATATATACATTTGCAATATATATATATATATTGCAAATTCAAAGTTATATATTTAGAACTTCTCAACTAATTAATTTTATATTTTTTAATTAATAATGGATTTTTTCACTATTTCTAACTCTTCTTTTCAGAAAAATATTACACTAACAGTAAAATGAATTTTAAATGACAGAATTAGATACATAAAATTAAATTTGTGTGCATGATTTTTAGAGAATGTGAATCATGTAAGAATTCCATTTCACACTTCTAATATTGGCTTTACCCAAACTCTCTGAACCCTGTAGCCAAACCACTTCTTCCTTAATTCCCCCAACCCCTTGACTTCACTGCGTACCACCCTTTATATCATACACAGGTGAGGCATTCCTCCTATATAGCTGGTAATGTCAAATATGTAGTAATTTTCTCTTTCCATAACTTAACTTGTATTTTGGTTTTGTTCTTTAGTAGACTGCAAATTTGCTATATAGCAGACAAAATCTGTTTCTTTCTTTTCAGTTTTGATATGGTTGGCATTGTAGCCCCCATCCTCTACCTTCCACCTAGCATTACAGGTGTGTACAAACATATCTAGCTCCCTTTCCTAATACTGCTCATACGTAGAACAGAATCTGCTGCAGAGTAGACACTGCATGAGTATCTGCAAGCATGAATTAATGATTTCAATATATACTAAACAATAGTCAAATTAAACTCTAGGTGGTCTACTTACATACCATTTAGGTAAGATTTGCCAAGTTCTCACTGTGAATATATACTTCTCATTTGAGAAACATAACTGATTAAAAGCCATTATTATTAGATAAATGATTTACGCAAAGGTTAAAGAACTTGTTACTTCATAATAAAATGTTAAATTTATTGAAATACAAAGTATTCAACAACTGGGGTGGTTTTTTTCCCTTATACTCCTCGGGGAAAGAACTGATTACTCCAACTAATTTTATGTTGTTAGGTCTTTGGTTTCCTTGGGATCTGATGTGATGATGTTGTATAACAAACACAATTTTTAACTTTCAATTTTATTTGATGCACATAAACTTTATTTATTACTGTGATGGATTTGTTCTAGACTGTGGATCAAGTTTAAATAAGTTCCACAGTTTTAGTCATTTGGATTCTAGGGAAGAGTGGAGTTTCTTCTCATACTAAAACAAACAGAAGTACAACCATGAAGCATGTGGCATGCATCATATTTTCTGACAATTCATTAGCCCAAGCAGGCCAGGCAGAAAACCTATCATCTACTGGACAGGAAATATTCACACTTTCTAAGAAGGACAAAGGAACAGGCCTGTGCTCAACAGTGGCAGTGTCTACCAATCAGCTCCTCAACATCTATAATGGCTGTTTCAATGGTTGTTTTCTCAGGATGTTACATAGATATGACATAGTAAGCTGAAAGCATCCAGCTGTGATCCTTATAACTATGGCTTCAGTGCCCTCTGGAATTACAGTTACAAGGCTTCAAGGGTCTGCTCCAAAGAATAATACAAGCATACACAAAAAATTACCTTTGAAAAAACTAGTCACCATTTAGATTTAGATTTTACTGATTTATATTTGAGAAAACTGTCAACATGTGCAAACTTATGCAAAAGAAGTCACTAATTCCTCAAACATGTTTTATTAACTGTGTTTCTTCAATTATAATTAAGAACATGACTTTTAGTTTAAAATAATCAAAACTGCAGATACAAAGTATTTAGTGACTAAAGCTATTATGTAATCAAACTAATAGACTATAACAAAAGCTTAACTGTAAGGCAAAGCCATTACCTAGAACCTCTATTTCTAAACAAGTAATAACAAAAGTGAAACTAAACACTTTTTAAATTCCAAACAGAGAGAACTGTAAAATCAACCCAACCAAAAATAAATAAACAGAAATGTATTTGTAGAAGTTAATGTCACATTAATATAGTATAATTATTAAACAATTTTCAAAATAAATCTGGTAATTTGAAGAGCTACTGAGGGCAAACAATCTGTATTCAGCTTTGGGGAAACATGAATATTTGCAAGAAAAAAATGGAGAACAGCATTTTATCAAATTTTGTATCTTCTGGTCATTAAATATTAAATCTAAAGAACAGAGAGAACAAGTATGTTGCTAATGTTAGAGAGACAATGATCGGCCAAGGTCTTCATTAATTTCCTCTTCCACATAAGAGCTTTCAGTAGAATTAAAAGCAGTCTATTTTCATGTATAATGACATTCTAACTACTTAATCTTTAAAAACCTCAGGAAACAAAATGTCCACTTTCATTACCGTCCACAATAGCACTGGGGCACAGATTGGACAGATCAGGGGCCTTGGATTTTTTTTTGAGAAAAAAATAAACCAATGACTTAATCAACCTCAGTGGCAGTTCCAGACTTGAAGATGTGACTACTGCAGATTCCAAATGCCGATGAGCATTCACTGAATGGCACTGTGGAGCATGTCATATGGTAGCTCCTGTCAGTTCATTTGAGAGATACGATCAAGACTTTCTTTAGGGCTACGGAAATATTTAAGTTAGCTTTATGTATTTTTTTTTAAAAAAAAAAAGCCACACTGTAATACAAACTACAAAAGAAAATCCTTCCTCCCCCTAATTTAGATCCATAAAAGAAAAGAGAAAAGATAAATTTCCAGAAGCAAAGACAGAAAGAATTTTTTTTTAAAGTCAGACTAACAGACTGCATAACACAGGTGGTGGGAAATCTCTGCCTCTGCCCTAAGATGTCACATAGTATGTGGAGCAAGAGGGAGAAGGTACAAGCAATTAAATATATTGCTAGGAAGCATAGAAAACAGTACATACCCATGTCTCCAAACTCCAACCCCAAGAGAGGAGACCCAGAGAACCTCAGAACCCCTCATGGGAGTTCATCTGATCTAAAACTCTGTGGAATAAACAAAGTCATATTAAGACCATTGACACAGGCAGGCTGAGCCTCAACAGGAAGAAAACTGTTAGCTGCAAAGTGACACAGGAACAGGGTGGTACAGGCGACACTGAAATCTAGGCAAGGTTAGTGAGATCACCAATTACACTGGGAAAAAGGAAACTGGCCTAGGCAACAACACCCCACCCATGTCAAGGGTCAAAATCATCTAAGGAAGGGTGAATTTTGCTTCTGAAACCAGGCAGAAATTCAACCCCACAGGTAAACTTATGAATCGCTATTGAGACTCTGCATAGTCAGATCTGAACTGCACAGAAAGGTAAACACCTCTCTCAGCAGCAACGATAATTTAATAAGACTTCTCAGGCAGAAGAGAGCTTTTCCTGATGTTCTAATCATGGAAGAAATTTAAACTGGTATTTTTATTTAATTTTAATTATTTTTAAATCTTCATTCTCGCATAAGTATTTGTTTTTATTTCTTATATTGCTCTATTACATTTAACACTATTTCCATTGTATCCTCTCAAGTATTCTGTCTAACTTTCAGCCCACATACTTTCTCCCTTATTTCTACTTCATGTCATCTTGTTCTTTTTCCCAGCCCCTCCTCTACACACTCCTAAATGCAATTTTCTAACGTCAACAATCTTTAGGGTCTAATTTCCCTAACACTTTCCCAATTCTTCTCTTCTATTTACTATTTTATATGACACTCAATTTACTCTCTTTCCATACCTACAGTTAGTAGGTGATTTACCAGCAAATATTATCTTCTTTCTTTATTTCTTAGTAATCCTTAGATTTAAGGGAGATAGCTGTTTTTAACTATTACTGAGTTTTCATAGTAGGTCTTCCCATCAGTGGCGTTCTCCTCAAATACTCTATTGGAGTTGAGCTGGATATTATACTTGATGCCCCCCTGAGGAAGTGTCTAAGTATAGACTTATCCATGTATAAGTCTAATACATGGATAGAAGGTGAAGACATATTAACCCTGCCTCAAGTGAATAGTGGTATATTATTTGTGCTTTAATAAACAAAGCTTGTCTAAAGATCGATGCAAAGCAGCTACACTACTCAGCCATACAAGCCAGGCAGTGATTGCACACACCTTTAATCCCATACTAGTTAGTCATTGAGGCAGGGTGGTGGTGGTGCACACTTTTAATCCCAGCCCTAGAGAGGGATATAAAACAGGAGGAGACAGGTTTCAGTCTCAGTCTCAATCTGAGGATTCATGGAGGCAGGATCACCCATTTTCGGTCTGAGGTAATGTAAGAGCCAATGGCTGGCTGCTCTGGTTTTCTGATCTTCAGGTTAAACCCCAATATTTGTCTCTGGGTTTATATTATCCGTGTTACACAAACTAGTCCCATGAGAAAACTGCCAAAAGAATTTCTAATTTCAACACAAGAAAAAAAGGACATATAATAAAAATCCACAATGACCTAATCTTAGACATGCAAATATTAACAAAGAAATAATGATCACGAAAGTAAAGAAAATAGGACTCCTTCCAAAATTACCAATTCCACAGTAATAAGTTTTCCAAAAAAGGTATCCAGAATGAAATACCAGACAAAGAATTCAAGAGGATGATACAAAAGAAGATTGAGCAAATTCTAAAAGGACATGAATTCCCTATGGTAGGATACCTTGCTTAGCTTTAATACAAGGTGGCAGGGGCTTGGTCCTGACTCAACTTGATATACAGGACTTTGTTGACACCTTAAGGAAGGCCTTACCTCCTCTAAGTTGTGGATGGGGATAGGATAGGGAAAAGCAGGGAGGTGGGAGGAAAGGAGAGAGGGGGAACTGAGGCTAGTATATAAAATAAAAAAAAATTAAATAAAAAAGAATATTAGCACCTAGATAAAAAGGCAATCAATGAATGATATGAAACAAATTTAATACGTATTAATAAATACTTAAAGAATCAAATGAAAATCTGGGAAAAGCTAACTGAAAAATTCAGAGTTAAACTGTTGAACCTGGAAATGTTGACCTTGTGGCTCCTTCACACTGAGTGTTCATGGACTAGAAGGTACTCTACACACTACCAGAGAAGAAAGCTAAAAACTAACCCAGATACAAATCTATGATCTACAATGGTGACCACCTGCAAGATACACTAATGTAATAGTGACATAAGCATTGTAGAAGTAACCATCTCATCTCATTTGAGGTCCACTCCAAGAGTTGGTAGCCATGCATGGCCCTGCTCGGTAGCCCAGAGCATGAGACTGGATAGGCCATAGGTCTAGAGAAAAACCACAGACTAATGCTGTGCTCTATGGAGTATAGTAGTATAGTAACAAAATGATTTCTAACAAGATTTTGCTACATCCACAGATCAGTGTCTCAGACATCATCAAAGAAGTTTCCTTTGGTAGTAGATGGAAATATACAGAAACCCATAACTTGATAATGTACAAAGAGTAAAAAATTTAGAACACTCAGTACTAAATGGGATATTTATCAAACACCTCCTCTCAGAGATCATAAAAAAAGATGAAAGACTGTAAGAACCAGAAAGGATGAATGACTCCAAGGAAACATTTCTAGACATACTAGGGTGTACATATGAATTCACAGAAATAGGGAAATCACTCACTGTTCCTGCACAGGTTTAAGTAGACTGGGTCCCAGTGCTGAGTGGTGTAAGTGGATGTGAGTTATGTGAGTTCCTATACCTTTCCATGAAGTTATCTGCAAAGGAAAAAAGTATATCTCACTGGGTATATTGACCCAGTTGGCCCCTTGCCGTGCAGTAGATGGCTAATACAAAACAAACTCAAAGCTTTTATAGACTTTACATCTCATGCTGTTCTATGTGGGCAATATTTGTCTTATTGGTCATCTGTGTGCATATTATGGTTTCTGTTTGTGTGTTTATGTATGTATGCAAGTTTCTTGGTTTTGTTTATTAGTTTTTCTTTTGTGTTTATTTTTAAAAAGAGAAAGGACATGAAGTTGGGAAGGTGAGTAGAATATGGGAGGAGTGGAGAGGAAAAAGCATGGTCAGAATATTTTGTATGAAAAAAATTTTTCATACAAAAAATATAAAAAATTTAAAAAATATCCTTTAAAGATATCGTATAACCCAAAAAGCCTAAAATATTTTATATTTGGTTCATTTTAGAAAATATTTGTCCAACTATTATGTAGATTTTTAACATAAAAATAAAACACAAGAAATAACAAAACAAAACAAAAAAAACAAATTAGTGGAAACCCTTACCAATGAACAGATCAAAGAAAACACAGAAGACCAAGGCTTGAAGAGAACATAAACAAGAACATTTATGCATCAATAAAGATAAAACAAGAAGAAATTATAAGCAAAGCAAGTGAGATACATAAGATATAATTGAGACACATAGGACATAATTAAGTGAGACACATAGGATATAATTAAAAGATCAATTTACAAATCAAGGACATAGACAAAAGTGAAAAATACTAAAAGTTGTGCTCCATAAAACAAAAATGTCAAATTTCCTAAATCTAGGAAGAGATGCAGACATTTCACAATTCAAACAGAAAAGACTAGGAAAGAATATGTCACTTAATATTAACCAATATATAGATCAAAGAAGGAGTATGGAAATGACATACAGAAGACTTTAGGGCATACTTCCAAACATATGTTCCAATATTTTGTGTAATTCTGAAGTAATGGATACATTTCTAGGAACATATGTCCTCCTAAAATTAAAACAAGAAGATCATTAACATAGCTACATACATAATAAGTTTGAAGGAATACCTAAAAATTTTCCAATTAATCTTTCTTGAAATGCCCAACCCCAGATGTATTCATGGCTGAAAACTATCGGACTTTACAGATCTAGCCCTAATCTTTCTCAAATTATTCTATAAGATAGAAAGGGAAAAAAATGTGACAAAGCCCATTTTATGAATCCAGTATTACATGGACATTCAAGCCAAATAAAGACACAAGAGAAAAAATATAAAAGTCAATTTTCTGTTGAATATGAATGCAAATATTCTCAATAAAATATGATAAACCAAATTCTACAACATACTCAAAAGATCACTCTCATGATGAAGTTGACTTCATTCCAAGAAGGGAAGGATGGTTCAAACCATGCAAATCAACAAAGGTAAGAAATTACATAACTAGGTTCAAGGATAGAAATAAATAAATATAGAAAAAGCACAACATTTTTTCATGACACAGGTAAATAAGAAAAAGAATCCCTTAAACCCTAAGAAGAAAAGGTACCCACTTTGACATAATATGGCATATTTATACTCAACAACACACTAAATAGAAAAGATTCAAAGCATCACCATAAAAGGGTGTCAATCCTTTTTTTCCATGCTGAAGTCAATAGAAAACTTTAACTCTTAGTTATAGAAATAAGATAAAAGAGAGATATAAAAGATACAAAAGATTTATACTATTTGAAGAGAAACTAGAGCTGGGCAGTGGTGTAACAAGCCTTTAATCCCAGCACTCCGGAAGCAGAGGCAGGGAGATCTTTATGAGTTCACAGTCAGTCCTGTCTATGGAGTGAGTAAGGTTTAGGACAGCCAAGGTTACACAAAGAAGTCTATATTGACAAATAAAACAAAGCAAGACAGAGAGACATAAACAACTGAGAATTAATTTTTAAAAATGTTGAACTATTGACTATATTCTTCCACTCTTCCTTATTCTCCACCCCAAAACTTGACTATACCATTTTACTGATGAAGACACCACAAACCTCAGTTGTAGAATATAGAGAAATCATGTTGGTACTAATCTGGAATGTTTGTCCTTACGAGAGAGCTTTAATAGTGCTGAGAGTTGCTATGCACAATACTGGCTGACACAAGAATCTCACCCCACTATAGACCCTGTGAGATACAATAACCAGCCTGAAGACACATAACCACTGGTGAAACAGTAGCATAAATGTCATGAAAGGAACAACTACCTTTCAAGGCCCACATTTAATTTAAGATTAAACTTCTACCTAGAACGTTTATGTAGCCAAGAACCTAAGGCTAAATAGATTATAGGTCCTAGAGGAGAACTTACTACTATTATTCTGCTAAATAGACATGGTATTAAGCTAAACTCCTAGTGATTTACGTTATACCCATAGATAGTTCATCGCTCTACCCACAGAGAGACTTGTTTCTGCAGTACATAGTGACCCAAACTCCAGTGGAAGGCCAAACATCCAAGAATATATGGACAGCACAAACTGGACTTGATGAGAGAGAGAGAGAGAGAGAGAGAGAGAGAGAGAGAGAGAGAGAGAGAGAGAGAGAGAGAGAGGAGAGAGAGAAAAACAGAGAGAAAAAGAGAAAGAGAGGGCAGGTAAGAGGGGGTGGATCTGACAGGAGATATTGTGACTATGAACAAAAAGCACCTGTACAAATTTCTCAAATAATTGAAAATTTCAAAAATAAAAAATATTTGGACAGGAATTTATTTTCTAACCACTTTTAAAAGATGTAAAGTTATATAGTTAAACATAGTCACTTTTGACTTTTAGAGCATATTCAGACATAAACTTCACTAATTTCTAATAGTCTGTTTACAAAGGAATCTGTAAAACCTTTCTCTTCCTAATAAACACAGATAAATGGGTGCATGTGTTTAATCATAGCACCTGAGAGGCAGAGATAGGAGGATTACTGTGAGTTCAACATCAATCTGGTCTACATAACAAACTCCAAGACACTCAGAGCTACATAATGAGTCCCTGTTTAAAAGAAGATACAAAATGTAATAGATGAATATAACACATGGTTAGAAAAAAAAAACAGCAAGGGGTATCGTATAATTGGATAAAAATTACAATTTCAATTATTAAAACAAACATTTTTTAGAATACTTCTGCTGAATAAAACAAACTTCTATGAAGTAATATTTTAAAACATTTCTACATGTATAAAATTTTAATTAAAATGAGTAATTAACATATTGCTAGCAAGAGGTAACAATGATAAAAATAGTTTGAAAACAAATTAAATACCTTCAGATTATATTTATGAGCTTTATCCATAATCATTGGTACCAAGTGATCAGTAGCTTCTCCATTGTCATCACTCGAATCAGGTGGGTACCAAGAAAGGGCCAGGACTCCTAATAGTAAAGCATAACGGAGAATGAAAAGCAACGAGAGTGATCGCCATATGAGTTCCAAGTACATTCAAAGGGTATTACAGCAATTTGGTTACTTTACCCAATATTTATGAACTATTTTAAGCAACCGATATATTTTCAAATTAACATACTACACATTTTAGAATAAGTCTCTCAGCAAGAAAGCACATAGTCCTTCTAAACTGTCTCCTACAGACCACAACCCTCTCCTCCAGTTATTCACATTCACATACTATTTGCAGTATTTACTATTTTTGATGGCTAGTACCATCATATTATTGTTAACTAACGACCACAGTTTTTACTAATGTCAAGCAGTCCTGTGGAGTCTAACAAAACTGTAAGTTCATAAGCTAACCATTATGGTACCAGACAGACTGAATTACTATAAACATTAGGTCCCCACCTATGTAGCCCTCCTCCCTGTTTACACCCAGCAGTAACTGATGTTTCACCCTCTATAATTCTGCCTTTGCCAGAATGTCATAGAGCTGAAATCATAAAGTATGGACCCATTTGCTTGGCGACTTATATTGTAGGTCTTTCATGATGTCTCGTGACTCAGTCACAGTTTTCTACTGCTGCTATCCATCGTGTGGATGTTTAATGTTCGTATTAAAGGATATGCTAGTTGCTTTTAAATTTTGGCAACTATGAATAAAACTTCTATAAGCACCCATATGCTAGGGTTTTTATTTTTAAACACATAAATATAATTTAACTAAGGATTTAATACAAGCAAACTGATTGGAGTTGTTCCCCATAGTACTCACTTATTTCTGTACTAAGAAATTACACTTTAGGTATTAGAAACACCAGCCTTCAGAGAAATCATTGACTACAGTTAACATATTTAAGACAAACACTTCAAACCTCCAAATATAAATAGAGAAATGCAGGACAGTAGAGACAGACAGCATGGGTATCTCAACTAATCAATTTTTTTTTCTACAAAAGGAATTATCTTATATAAAGGAAAGCTTGTAGAATTAAGAAATCAAAGCAGCCAAAATTCTACCATGGAGAGGGGCAGGGCTAGTCCAGTGTCACCATTGGCTGAGGAACTACTGACAATCTGAAGGTTGTTAGTGGAGCAAAAATCCATTTTCTGCAGGGATGTGGTCACTAAGAGGTGACCCATGTTTCAGGAAATGGCCTTATCATGCACATATAAGCTGCGCTAACTGGACTCAGTAGGTTTATAAAAAGAGCACCTAAGTTTGAAAATGAAAAGTGATGGTGGCTGGGGGCTAGGGGAAGAATTGGAGGGGAGAGAATGGGGACTAGATTTGATTAATACTTATTAAATGCATGGATGAAATTCTTAAACAGTAAAGAGTAAGAAGCTTCAGGAGACCTAGATTTTAACACTGAATTTTCTCATAGTTCTAATACGTTAGAGAAGAATTCTAGCTGGAGGAACAAAGGGGCCCTTTCATTAAAGCTAATGGAGGAAAAGGCTATCTTTGTCTGCTATCCATGGACAGCTAAAAAGCAAAACATTGAACAGAACAAAGAACTAATAGTGGATAGGGATCCAGGGATGTTATGGCTATTGGAGAGGGGAGTTGCACCTAGATAATGATGCTGGTGAGAACCAAAGTTGGAAGAAAACTGATCAACATACAGCCCAGGAAACAAACTTCTTTCTCAGAAAAAGCAATGAAAATAAACACACATAAGGGAAGCAACCCACATCAAAAAGCCACAATGCACACAAAAATTATAAAAAATGAATTCTTCCACATTCAAACCATGATTCTATTTCTAATAATTTCTAACAGCTATTGATTTAATAGCATAGAACCATCAAGCCTGGGCAAGAAGAAATGCCATGACAACAAAGACCTACTCAATAATAAAAAGGTACTGGCCTAGCCTAGTGACTAGGCTAGTAATGATGGTGATCCCGGAAGTCAGTCTCCTGTAGGAGTGAAGCAGCTCTAGGAAGCAGCAGCCTGCAGCCTGCCTTCCAGTGCTCACAAGTCTCTGCTGCACTTTCTGCAGATACTTAAGTGAGTCAGCATCAGCATTCTTAACAGCAAAGACAAAGCAGTCACTCAGGAAGCTATCTTCTTCTTGAGCTCAAAAGTATGTTTCAGAGAATAATGAATAAAATACAAGCAAACACAATAAAGAAATCTAAGGGAAAAAAGCATCAAGTTTTATTAATGGAACTCCAAAGACAACAGATCTGGCTATGTAGAACCCTCAGATGCTGGCTCTAGAGACTCTACATTTCTCAGACTCCAGATAATATACTGTCATGGCTAAGAGTTTATGACTAAAGGTATGTACTCTGAAATCATACAAAGAAAAGAAAAAGATGAGGGGTATGGGTGACATAAGAATAACTGATCACTTTTCACCAGTTAAGTTAAATGTTTACACTGCAATGCTATAGAGATATTAAAAATACATAAGAATGACTACATGTACTAGGCCAAAAGAGACTGCAAGATTGAAAAACTCACATTAGTGTCAGATAAGGCATATAAAAGATGAAGAAAAGACCATAAACAGGACAAGTGGAAATGCAAAATGGAACATTTAAAACCTCATTACATTAAATAAAAATGAAACTGACACAGAAATTGAAAAGGAGTAGTCAAAGAAATAAAGCCACACTGTATGCTACAGAAAGGAAGAATAGTTGAAATGTCCAACACATAACTACAGGAGCAAACACCCTCAATCATAAAATGAGATATTATTACTAGTAACAATGACTAAAACTGCTATCTTTAACAACAGGTGAATCACAAAATTCTGTGCAATGCAAATCATAACAAGCAAACAGGGGAGCTAAATACATTTTGCTGTCATTAGATGTCAGGAGCCGTTTTTCCTCCTAAAAATCATTACAGGAACCATTGCCCTGGGGAGTCTGCAGAGAACCCCACACCCATAATTATGTTAAGAATCTTTCTACTGACAAAACCTGCCCCACACCCAATTAAGCTGTTAATGGAGAGCTATCTGTTAGTGGAACCGCCTCACCTTCCAGCTATCCAGGGAACTAGGCGTGTCAACTCCTGACTTCTAGGCGACCTGACCGAACTTAACCTCCTGGCCTGACCTGGACCACGGGACAAGAGTCCAGGCCCCTGTGCCCCCCCCCATTCCTTACCCTATATAAACTGTAACCCGTCCCTAATAAATGGAGGCTGTGACAAACTTAGCATGGCCTCCTCCTTCTTTCCTAGCCCATTTATCTTCCAGATAGCACCCCTCCGTGACCCTGGAGTAACTGAATGCAGGGTGGGTTACAAACCCCTAGACTGAGTAAGCCACCCAACGCAATCGACAATTAGAAAGGAAACAATCATAACTTCATAGTGACAGAAATCAGATACAGTTGCCTGAATGGGGTCAGGATCAGCAGTAAAGAGGGCAACAGTGATCCCAATGTTAGCTAGGCAGAGAGAAAGGCCCCACTGCACTCAACTCATGACCCTTTTCCTTCAGCTTCTCCCCTCCCCCAATAAAAAAGTACAGCTTAATTCAGGGATATGAATTAAGATCGTAATTAATAAAAGTATAAAAACTGATAAGTAATTTATTTGCCCACCCACATTATTTATATATGTAAATAAAATAAACTAATTACCAACCAATCAAGGCTGAGCTCATTTGTCTCATGTGAGTTTCTATGACAGAAGGGTCCCGAGAGCTGTAACTTCCTAACTCAGGATAAAAGTTGGAGCCAATGTCATCTGGTGGAGTATGTCTCCCTTGTGGATAGTTCTTAGCTATTCTAGGGTCCCAATGCTCCAGGACAGGATGATTCCAGTGTATGTATTTGCCATCAAATTGTGGATTTCCATACCAACTGTAATAAAATACGTGTAAAAAATAATTCAGAGGAGGCAGTTCTTCCAGGGTTGCCTCAGAGGCTTTGGGTGGCCTCACAGGAATGTCAGCAGCTTTTGGGTTCTTCGTATTTCTTTCCATGTTGATTCTATCACTCTTTTGGAAGTCAGCTTTGTTTCCCAAGGGGGCGTTTGGTAGATGAAGTTCTGGAAGAAGGTCAAGCCCAAAAGGAGTTCCAAAGGATGCTGTATTTGGCCTCAGCATCTTTAAGCCCATCATCAGAGAGAAAATAAATAGAATAAAAAGTGACAAAATGATGCAAGTCTTTCTTCGAAATTTTGCCATGATGACATTCTTTAAGTTCCAAAACTGTGAATGGTTTGCTGCAATTCATTTTTAAAAAGATGATTAGTAAATAATATTAATGTTTTCTACAGTACATAAAATGGAAACTAAAATCCATTGACTACATTAAAAAATAAAATATAATAAACCACCAAATACTGTTAAAAAGACATGCATGCACACACGCATGCCCACAAACACTCACACATACACAAGAGATACTGATTTAGAAATAGCCCTATATATACACCAGTAACATTTAGTCAGGTGAACTCAGGAATCTGTTTAATAAAATAAAATATATTTTTATCATGTGAATAAATTTTGTGTATACAGAATATACAAAGCCAATAATTCATATATAAGGACTAAATTTTAAAATGGTAGTTAATGGGAAACAATTGTCCGTATCTCCGAGCCTTTTCAGTAAAAACATAAAAACAATGAGAGTTTTAAACAGGGTCTTAAAATTGTTGACTTAGGCTGGTGAAATACACTAGTCAAGGTATGTAACAGAAACACAATGAAGTTTGGAATTTGAAAAATATATTAATGATGGGACCTTAGATAACTCACTGAGACTCTTTATCAAGTTTTATCATTTTGTTTTTTGATATAATTTCTTTTATGGACAATGCAAGGTAATGTTGGCAAAAAAAAAAAACAAGTGTTTAATTACTGATTATTACTTAAGATTTGAAGTAAATGAGGAAAGAAACATAAAAAGAACATTAAAGATTTGTGTGTGTAATTTCTCGTTCCTTTATTAGATAGATCCATCAATGCATAACCAAAATTTGCATTTATGGACACTGCCTTTGTATCTCTGCCCCCATACTTCTTGCCTATAAATATAATTCCTTAAGCTGTACCTTTATTTTTTGTATTACAGATTTTATTCATTTCAAATGACTATTATATCATCACAAAACCAATTCTATCTTTAGCAATCAACCACGAAGGGTATCCCAATCTTCTTATCAAGTAGGCTCTGTTTCAACATAAATGAAAATAATAATAATTAATAATAAAAACCAACCCAGCATATGGAAGTGAGCATGTCGTTCAGGCGTTAGAACATATGCCTTGCAATGAACAATTCCTTGGGTTCTAGGTTTGACCCTTAACCCTGCAGAATACAAACAATAAAGTGTGGTCTTTATTATCTCTAAAATAATATTCAAGGTGCAAGACAAAGCAGAACCCTGCCTCCTCTTCCCGATTCTTCTCCTAAAGACTCCTGAGTAGAAAGCTCTACTGAGGCAGCAGTGTTTTCCTTTAATGCTGGCATTTCTAACACTGTACACTGTGTAAACTATATGTGTTCAAGTTTTCTGTACCATAGAAATGGAGGTTATTTGTACTCTAGTAGATCCCATCAAATATTATCATCACTGATCACTATTAAGCTTACTTTTTGGCCCTCCTGTTTCTGACACTGTCATGTGTTTGGGCAGTATGTCTATAACATAATAATAGTTTATAATAAGCAATACTATACAAGAAAATTCATGAAAAGCCAATAGTTTTAAAGTCCATCTAAACAAAGTACTGTCTTAATATCTGTGCCAACACAAAGCCCCTGGATTCTGAAACAAACACTAACAGTGCTTGAACACTTCCAAAACACTGCTCTCGCAAGAGACAGGCAAAGGAACTACTCACCTGGTTTTAACTAAAGAAAGGTTTCAGAAGTTCCTTGTGAGAAAAACAAAAAAGCCTCTACAAGTCAACTGCAGGTGTAGAGGTTCTCAAAAGCAGGAAGCTCAAGGTACTGGCCAGTGACAACTTGTCCTCATCAAAGGGAAGTTTACATGTCCCAGAGTTCCACAACTGGTTCTCCTGAAACCATGTTATTTTTATGTTTGGTGCTTTTAATATTTTAAAATGATAATGTGCAAGTCTAGTGATTTCCAATAAAAAAGTATTCTATACTTAAACCGCTAAGAGATCTAAACGATTACTTTAAAAGTGTCTGCTCATATTAGTAACTCAGAAATGCCAGTTTCCCTTTTAAAATAATCAACTTATAAAGATTCCTCCTGCTTATTCTTCTGTGTTCATATTACGTTCTTCTAATTTTATGCTAGAAGTGCCTAGAGACAGACCAAACTAGTACTATGAAGCACACAACGCATCTGAAACTTTTGGAGTCTTGCCCAGGGTCAGATTTACTGCAAACTTCCTTCATAAGTCCAGTCAGGCTTCCCTTCTGATCCTCACAACCATCTATGAAGCAGAACTTCATGTTACCGGCGATGGAACTAAGCAAATGAGGTTTTCCAAGCTTTTGAGCCAACTGGCAAACAGCCAAGTAACCTGCCACTAAGCACCTAGCAAGGGCAAAACATGGGCTCCTGCAACGTGGGCTCCTGCCTCTGGCCTAGGTGGCCTCAAGTATAGAAGACTTTACTACAATGATTTTTGTGCCTCGGAAGCTGACAGACGAAATAATCAATGGCTTCCTTTCTGAACTGCGGTCCACACTTAATGAGAAGGCAGCTCGTGATCACATACTAGTTACTATGGAGTAAGAGTCTCACTCAGCTTTCAGACTACAAGCCGTAAAATTGAGGTTTTCCTGGCTTACAAACCGCTCTTAGAGTGCAAGAAAGTACTGCATAAAGCGATTCAAAACTTACATTAAATTTGCATTTTTCTTCAAAAATGCCACCTACAGAGTAGCGTCCTGTCTCATTTCTTATTTGTCTTTCTAAGCTCGTACAAACAGATCCACACGAGTTTTAGGACTTCTCCATCTTCCCCTCTATTATCCGTAAGTCCTTGACACAAGAAAACCAAAGTTTTAACCGCTTGTACCCTCAACTTGTTCCTCCGCAAATGGAAAAGAAACCGGGCACCCTCCTCCAGCGAGGGGAAGTCTACAGTACCGAGCCAAGCGTGTTAAAGGGGAACAAAGACCTTGGAGGGCAGACTTGTCCAGGCCGCCTTTGGGGCTCCAGCCTAGGCTGGGACACGGGCGCCGCGACCGCCCGGGCCCTCCAGACGCACTCGAAAGTTTGGGGCTCTAGGAGGAGGGCTGGGGAACCGCCTCGGGGCAAACTTGCAGCTTGTGGGGTGCCGGGCAGCCCGCCCAGGCCGGGCTCCAAGGCCCTGCCGGCATTGACCTAGCGGGAAGCCGGCATCCGGGCCGAGCGGGATTAGATTCCAAGGCGCCCGGGACGAAGGGTCAAAGGGCGCAGCGGGTAGGAGGCCTACGATTGGCTGGCGGGCAAACGCGCAGGCGCTAGCTGTGGAGTCGGTGTGGGCCGTGGCTTAGGTGTCCCGCAGCTACTCACCTGGGGTTGGGGCCTGCCACCAGCGGGGACCCGCCGACCGGACCGAGGGAAGGAGTCCTGAGTTCTGCCAGGGAAGACTGCAGCGGCCACCGCCACCGCCTCCGCCTCGTCCCGACTCCCAGAGGGCAGCGCGGGGCGCGGCTCGGGGGCGGGGCTCCGAGGGGCGGGGCTCCGAGGGGCGGGGCTCCGAGGGGCGGGGCTCCGAGGGGCGGGGCTTAGAGCCTCCCAGCCTGTCCTGGAGGCGTGATGGAAGGCTAGATTCCCATTAAGATCTCTGACATTATTTAGCCTTTAAGAGGCGGCGGTGGGGAAGAGACAGAAATCTTTAATAAATAAATAAATAAAAATTAAAAAAAAAAAAGACTAAGCAGTGACACTGGTCAAGTCTCGTCATGTTGCTTGTTATTTATATTTCATTAGATGTTTCCAAAATTTTAAAGCTAAAAATGTGTTTTAGTTTATAAATGAGCAAACCAGAAGTAGACAGACAAAGATAGGTGGAAATTACAGGTCTACTAGGAATCGCACGTGTCCAAAGACAATAAAAATAGAGAATAAGTCAGGTGCAAGAAAAGAAAAGAACTTTTGTAGCAGAGGCTACAGCTGGGATTTGCATCTTACATCAGCCTCAGACACCAAGAGGATTTTGTGTTTTGTTTTGTTTTGCTTTCATGGTAACCAGGAAACCTTGACTCAAAGACTGAAACTTGCAGGTGTGAGTATGTGAACAGTATTGTTAAGTCTCTTTTAAAAAGCTGTTGGTTTTTAAAGATATATGAAATAATTTAAAGAATAATAATTAAAAATATGCCCCAGTGCTTATTCCAAAAGCTTAAAACCAAAATTCTTGTTTTCCTATCGCTATTAGGCAGCATTTTGCTTTTTATTTTCTTTTTCTTCTGAAAATAGGTCTTCTAAAAAATCCATGGTTTTGCATGTTGTATAAGTGAAATTGCTCTGAGTTTCTATGCTAACATGTTTTGATACAGGTTTATGTTTTGAAATTCCTACACATACGAATCATATTGCATCAGCTAACTTACATCTTCCATGTAAACACTCTCTTTTAGGAGCTCACAAGATGGGTCAGCAGTTAAGAGCACTGACTGCTCTTCCAGAAGACCCAGGTCCAATTTCCAGTGTCCATGTGGCAGCTCGTGACCGTAGCTCCAGTTCCAGAGGATCTTACACCCTCGCACAAACACACACCCAGGCAAAACACCAATGTACACAGAGTAAAAATAAATCAATAATTAAAAAACTGTTAATTTTTGCCTGAAATGTTATCTAATTTAAGTCCCTTTAATTTGTGCATTTTCCCCTCCATCAAGGAAATGTGTACCTCTTTAGATCCTTGTGGCTATGAGACCTTCTGGAAAGATGCCTGTTCTCAGTTTACGTTCATTTTATTTTGGAATGTTGGCTTTTAAAAATTAACTTATATGTAAATAACTAAATTTACTTCATGAGTTACAAATACCTTCACTTCATTGTATGCACTTTTATGGTATCTTGATAATCAAAATCCATAAATCTTAGTATACTGGTTGGTTGTTGTGTAGAAGAATATTGTAGTCGCATAATCTTTCATTTACATCAGACACAAAAATTTATGGCCAAACTTTAATAGTGGTGTATTAATGTTAAGTCAAGATAAAAATGTTGTTAGTAAGTCTATTCAACGGGCTACTGAAGGCCATCTTATTGTATCGTTTTCAAAATGATCATGAACAATTTTCTTTTGCTTCTAGAACTTCAGCTATGTTTAAGTTTAGTTATGAGATATATTAGATACAAATAACTGAACATGAAAAATATAGACAATACCTAATCTTTATGTACCTATAAAATTTTGCAACCTCATTTTCCTTATTGATGTTATTTGAATTATGTTAGCTAAGATTGGGTCTTTATTCATTTTTATAAGTATAAAATACTTGGAATAAACCAGCCAAGATCCATTAAAAAATTCTGTTTGGATATTTATTGTGCTTTAATGAAATTTGATAATTGAATTTATAGATTTTTTTATGGTTTAGAGAAAAGTCTTTGGTGAACATGTTATGTATATAGATTTATGTATGGGCCCAGTATGTTCTGTAATGCTTTTTAATTCATGCTATTAAAGTTTTTGAAGGTTTTTACTACAAAGATTTCTCATAATTATTGCAAAATTGGGCACAATTTTCTTTACATTACATATTGTGTGGTTTGATGCTGTGGTTAATGGTAAAATGCATGAGACCCCGAGATAAATTTCAAGCACTGCAAAATAAAATTCCAGCAGATTATTAACATTATTAGCACAAGGGGACAATCATTTTCTAATTACCACGCTCATGTCCAAAAGATATGCTCACCTTGTGTGTATACTTTCCCTTCTGTTATATATCCAGTGTCTGGAGACAACTGTTTTATTTATAAAGGCGATTTTTTTCACTTTTTAATTAATCTTGTCATATTCAATATACATTAACTTGATCTTCAGTGCAATATCTTATAGTCCTAATGACAGCATCGATATACTTGTTCCGAGCTTATTTCAATACCATTAAAATTTTATCATGAATTTTAGGTGTGATATGGGTTTTCTTTACACAGTTAGTTGATCCTGATCATTCAGCTTACTAAGTATCCTATTTCCAATTGTTTAGCATGAATATTTGCTTAGTTGATGAAATTAATTTTAGCATTTATTGAGATAGTCATAGTTTTCTATTCTTAATACATTTATGGTTATTAAAATATTTCTGATGTTATTAATATATATCCCTGATGTTGAATGAAAACTATATTTACTTAGTATATATTTACTTTATAAATATGTATTTGTATGCCCACTCTAAAACAGTCATTTATTACTGCCAGGGAAAATCAATTAAAAAAGTTTCGCGTTGCATCACCTAGTGTTTGCAAGAATGTGCAGTAGTGTTTTAAAAGTGAGTTGAAATTGGAGGTAGTGTCGTGTCCTGCAACTCTGACCACTCAGTTCCTCCCCTTCTTTCCTTCCTTCCAGTTTTCTTTTATCGTCACATATTTTGTTAATTAAAACTACAGTAGAGAAAGAATGTACGCTACATTTAATAGGTTAGTTACATCAAGAAAACAGAACTGTACATGCATTGATTTAAGTGTAATGTATCAATGGTGGTCAGTCATTGAGGAAGTCATTAAAATGCTATAGAAAGGGATACAGTCCATACGTTTTTCTCATTGATTCCTTTCATGTATTCGCCTAACATAATAACCTGCTGGCCGAACACAGTAACCCACAAGCAGCCTTTGATTTCTACTCTCACTTAATCACGATAATAGTTCCAACACCATAAGATGCCTGTGGTTTCACTTATCCCATTAATGAAGCATCAGCAACCGTTATTTTACTATGGGCATTAGAAATAAATAGGCTTCTTATTTTCTATTCCTAACCAAGTTCTTGCATTTCAGGTATTGTTTGTCCTCCCTCTTTCAATGAGTCTTATCTATCATCTGAATATTGCATGTCCCTCATCCCCCTGCTTTTTCCAAGTTCTGGCCATGAAGTGTGATTTTAATAACTTGAAGCATTATTGCTCCTCTCATCTGGAAAGCAAACTCACAGATCGCAGGAGCACATGTAGACTAAAGTACAGTGTGCAGGGGAAGGCTAGCATTTTAGGCAGTGACAGCGTCTGCTAAAGAGCTTCACATAAGAGTACATTTAGGCTCTTTCTTTTCTGTGGTTAAGTTTTCAATACAGCAGATCTGCACTTACTAACCTCACACTTTCTGCATATTATGCCTTCTTCACAATTCTATTTTGTTGTTGTTGTTGAGAAAATCTTGATGACTACCTATGTTGAACCTGTTCACCAGTACCTCTTTAGTTTTCCCAGAGTAGAAGTCACTTCTTCCCAAAAGTGGCAACAAAAACAAAACAAAGCATAAAGGTAAATGACCAAGGAAAAACATGTATTTTTTTTCAATCACAGTATGCTTCTTGAATTTCTTGTAAAATCTTCTTTTGTCCATGTGTGTCCTATTATATACTGTTTGATTCCTTTATTCACAGTTCCATTTACTGTTTTGCCACTAATTATATTTTTGTTCTTTGTGTCATATTTTATTCCATAAATGTTTGATTAGAGAGGCCTATGATAGAATTTGGCATATATTTCTCTAAGAAGTCCAGAGTAGAGTTCTTCACTTTCTACTGGATGGCAGTGGGACTCTTTCTGCTATTTTAACCCTTTGTTGTCTGTACAAGGCCATCTGGAGGATAACCAACTTTCAGGCCACCAGGAATGAAATTTAACTCCAGGAATATGTACTCACCAATGTTTATGGAATCAAAGAAGAGGCTGACCTTTCAAAGTCGTGACTGAAACCTGTAAGTGAGGTACATTTACAGAGTTTATAGTGCACACCATTAGGCAACTTTTTCACTAAAGAGTTTGGCTTTTCTAAGAATACACTCACACTTGAGGATTAAATTCATTATAGGTAACTCAGAACTCTAAAGGCCAAGCCTCTCTACTAAATATCCTATGACTGCATATTCCTAGGCATAGGTATTTCTTACGAATGCAGGTTCCAGTGCCAATTTTTCTCCACGTTGATAGAATGCCAGAAAGCTCCTGCCTGGAAAATAGGTGCTGATAGATGTGACTATGTTAATGGCTAGGCAGTCACAATTTCTTCCAAGGGAGGATGTTCCACTCAGCAATGGTGACTACGGGGCAGGTGCATAGCTACAGATGGAAGCTGATGCAGCACGGAGATTCAACATGTCTTGAGAGGGTAAGTTACTGCAAACGTGGACACAGAACCTCTCAGCATTTGAAGGAATGAAGTTTCATGTACCATTTCCCTTCATCAGTGCCCTGACACATTCAACCAAGTTGCAGATATTACACCATTTAAAATGTAGATTTTTTTCCTGCTTAAAGCCATATGATTGGTGCTTCTTCCTCCCCAAAAGATCATGGATTATGGAGTCAATGGCCTTACCCTATCTTCTATTATGAAATAGAATACATATATAAAGTCAGAAAATCAAAACAAGCCTCATCATGTCTCAAAAATAGATTAATTCCCTTGTGCTCTGTTTCTATAGCAAAGACCATTGGCAGTTC